GAGTGGGCCCTGTAGTATTGTGTGGGCCCTTATGAATGATTATCACCTTGAAAATATGCCTGTGTCCAAAGAAAAACTCTGATTAAATTAATAACAGTGCTACTATATATGCCCTTGAAAAACACAAACCCATCTTGTTTATTTTTCTTTTTGTGCACAATAGTTAATGGCATCTATAACAAAATTATATGCTTATTCCATACCTATAAATCAATAATTAATATGGCTTAATTAAATCAATAATTTCTTATTTTCTTTGGTATTTTTTGTTTATACAGATATGCAGTGATGATAGCTGGGTAACATGTATGTCAGTGTTATCCAATGTCAAATCTCTGATCATGTGAGGGGACGATATGTGCATGATAGTGTGCACAAGGGCACATCGTACCAATATCTTAACCTTTTGCAACAAAAAAAATGCTGCTTAGGCTATATATCAATGCATAACTATTAATAACCAACAAATAGTATACTTAGATAATAAAACACTGATACTTTAAGTGCATTTTACTGCTAATATTTGGCAATACTTAATAAACATTTTTAGTCAGAAAAGTATTTATTGCCAAGTAGGTTTTCACTTACAATGAATTTGTTTTGGCATTAGTACATACATTAAACATGCAATAAACATATAAAGAGGAATAAAAATAAAGCAAAGTACTGCAACACTCAAGAACTTAAATATAGAATAGAACAAAACATAAACCATAAAAAGTGCAAATATACTTTCAAAAAGCACTACAACATAGCAAATATGTACAATCCAGCTATTACATTATAAGCTAGCAAGTTTTGTGCAGGGTATATTAAGCATGGGATGTGCAAAAGATGACAGTGTAGAGCAAATATGCGTGCTGTGCCTTTATATGCAATGGAGTATTTTTGCACTGGGCAAGGATCTGAGTACTTCCTCCACCACTGCCTGTGTAATCTATCTTTATCTGTCTATCTCTCTGTGCCCCTGTATCCCGTAAAACTAATGCTTTGATGATGACCTAAATCGTCACACGTTTCAAACTTAACCCTGCAGGCAAATAAAGAAACACAACAAAAGTGAAAACCGCAATTACGCCTAGTAACCACTGTTTTCCCAAATAAGGGGAACAGTGTGTCCCGTCAAAACAGTGCAGGAAAACACGCGGGTGGTGGGGATGGTGTTGACTGCATTACAGAAGACTTGTCATTCATTCAAGTGCACCCGACCGGAAATGATAACAACATTCACCCTCTGACAAAAGTAGTTTTCTTTGGCGACTGTTCCTTTTATTGTGTTCAAGAGGGACGTGATATACTGAATGGGTGAGGTGTTAAACAAGCAAAATATGTTTATTGCTATTAGTGCCTGAAGCCAAAACGTGACAGCAGCGAGGGAAACAGTGAGAGTTTATTGAACACACCACAGTGGGCTTTTTATTTACATAGGATCGTGCTGTAATAGTCCTAACAGTACATATAATTATTCTTTCTTTTACAGCCTTACTGACGTCACCTCTTTTGTGGATCATGGAAAGTTTCCTCATTCTCAACCCATTGGGCAACGTTTGGGGTCGGCTGTGATCTCTTGCGCTTACGATTCTTATCCTAGCCCCTGAAGGCATCATCTCACAAAGGAAGGAGTGGCGATTATCTGTTTCATAACTGCTCAGGCGGCCAGTCTTACTCATGTCATCCTCAAAATACCATTCGTAACATCAAAAAGATGCCCTTTGCGTGTCATTTATCTTCATCATCGGCCAAATATAGCAGTGACTTACGCTTACAGCAAACCTTGCTTGTTTACTTTCTTGTCGGTGGCCAGAAAAGTGACCTCGACTTATAAAAGATAAGATAGTGGGATTGTCAATGTCATAAAAGGAGACAAAAAGGACAACAGCTCGTAATTCACGTTTGCTGATGTTTATTTTTCTAGCTCCCCCTTCAATTGTCCTGAGAAGGTTATACTGACCCAATCCAAACATACCAGAACAATGTAGGGCTGCTTATTATTTTATACCGTTATACCCAATGGTCAGATGTCTCACTGAAAGGATCCCTGATGGGATGTCACTATTTTCCTTGATGCAATATACACTACAACTCCTCGGAGCATTGCCAAAACTGTGGATTTGTTTGTGTTAGAGATAAGAAAAATGAGGCAATAGCACATGCTGTGTTGCACGAGGTTCTTTAAAAAAACATCTTGTCTCATGATCTTATGATACTGAGAGCTTTCACAGTTTTCATGAGCAACACACATGATTTAAAATAAAATATGATGAATTGAGCCAACAAAAGGCTATTTCTCTTGTTTACCGTGTCTAGTTCCACTCATTTCATCAATGTAATTATACTATAGTCAAACATATTATTATAAATAGTGATAATATTAATAATAATATGGGTTTTTTTTTTCATTACCTCTGCCCTTGTTTATTTATGAATGTTTTAACATGTTGCTTCCATTGATTCCTGGGGAACCTAATACCATTCAGCCTTTTCAGTGTTGAGTGTATGTGCTGATCAAAGAAATGAGCCCACTTCTCTAATGTACCTATTTTTTAAAGTTTGAGTTGTGTCATTTTAACAAAGAACTCAGCTTGCACCAGATATGCAAGACTCCAAGCTCGTCTGTGGCAACACTTCTTGTTCTCTGCATGGTTAAACAACGCCATCTGGTGTATATTCCCTTTAATAACATCTCAATAATCAAGGTTTCTGTCTGTGGTATCTTGTCAAAATTCGTCTTTTATGAGTGAATGAATAAATGAATGACTTTATTTTGAACCAAAACAAAAAATAATAAAAAAAAACAAACAAGACATGGCATCTATAACAAAATTGTATGCTTATTCCATACCTATAAATCAACAATTAATATTGTTTAATTAAATCAATAATTTCTTATTTTCTTTGGTATTTTTTGTTTATACAGATATGCAGTGATGATAGCTGGGTAACATGTATGTCAGTGTTATCCAATGTCAAATCTCTGATCATGTGAGGGGACGGTATGTGCATGATAGTGTGCACAAGGGCACATCGTACCCATATCTTAACCTTTTGCAACAAAAAATGCTGCTTAGGCTATATATCAATGCATAACTAATAATAACCAACCAATAGTATACTTAGATAATAAAACACTGATACTTTAAGTGCATTTTACTGCTAATATTTGGCAATACTTAATAAACATTTTTAGTCAGAAAAGTATTTATTGCCAAGTAGTTTTTCACTTACAATGAATTTGTTTTGGCATTAGTACATACATTAAACATGCAATAAACATATAAAGAGGAACTATCCCCAGTCTATTTACCACCCAATTAAATAAATAAGTAATTTGCAGTTCTAGTGCCACCCAATGTTTCAAAATATATATGCACTCTCCTTACACAACCTTTCCGTGTCTATATATCTGCCTAAAAATATCTTTTTTTGTACCTTGTTTAAAATTGATTTGTGCTTTGTTTCAACTCATCACGCAGCCCATTCCACAAGTCCATCCCACACACTGAAATACATAGACTCTTGTTAGTTGTAACAAATTGTTGTTTTTTTTAAATTATATTCTCCTCTTAAATTATAACCCCACCCCTGTCCCAAAACATTTTCGAATGTTTCCTGGAAGTAGATTATTTCTTGCTTTAAACATGATCTAAAAATTCCAATGCATGTGACATTAAAAACAGCATGTTCGTGTACTCCAGTTTGTGTGCTGTCCTGATTGCTCTTTTGAAGGAATTATAACAGTTGCTTTTGTAAGTGTTGCCCCAAACTTCCACTTAGTAAGTCAAGTGCGGCAGTACAAGTGATGAATACAGAATATGCAGTGATTTATGGTCCAGTATGTGTTTTGTTCTTTGCCAGTTTTGCTCTTACATAATTGATGAGGTTTGCAGCAGTTTTTGTCATCTAGAATCACCCCCAGAAATTTGACAAGTTTCATAGACTCTCTCCACATCAATATTATCAATCATCATCTGTACTTTTGTGTCTGTACTGCGGTTTCCAAACAACATACATTTAGTTTTGTTCAACTTTACAGGCAATTTATTTATGCTAAACCATTGCTTTAATATATTTTTTCCTGTTGTGACCTCCTCCAAAAGCTGCTGCAGATTTTCCCCAGAACAAAGAGTACTGGTCTGTGAATAAAACATATTTTAATTTTCTGAACACCATACATGTATCATTTATGCACAAAATTAACAGTGTTGGACCCAATACTGACCCCTGTGGGACACCAACAGTAATGTCAAGGCATGATATGTAATCATGCATTTACACAAACTGCTGCCTATGTCCCATAACGCTTTTCACCCAGTCCAATGCAACCCCTCTTACACCATATCTTTACAATTTTTATTGTAGTTTTCAGTGTCTTTCCCCCAAAATACTTACATAAATTTCAACATTGAGTAAGTGTTGGGGTATGAAGTAACAACCAGTCACTGCTCCTTCACAATTGACAGCAAATATAACTAATAAAGAAGTGTTTGTCACAAGAGTTTTATCAGAACACCAGTTTTAAGGTCAAATGGTTGAAGCTGAGTCTATCAGCAAGGTCACTGCAAGTACAACTCTATAAAGACGCATTTTTAGGCAGCAGCACATCTAATAGCACATATATTTCCGGTCAGTAAAATAAGTTTATTTAAGCACAAAATCGTGAATGCTGTCTTATGATATAACGCATGCTATGTCTAATGTTTCCAGCTCAAACACACGTGGTGAAGGCATGATACTTGTGACTTTGAACAGTACCGCTGGAGGGCGACACGAACTTCCTCTCCCCAGAAATGGTTCAGCTGTCTGGAGACACTGATCCTGGACCAGGTTTGACCCCCACTTTCTCCTTCTACACTACAGCAGATAAACAACAGCTAGGACGTCAAATCTGATCCCAGTTCATCGAAGAAACTGAAAAGTGGGGGAGCTTTGCTTGGAGCTGGACTGGCGCACATGCTGGTGCCCAAGCAGCTCAATTTAAGACAGGCTCCCACTGGAACCAATCAGAATTGAGCTGGCACAGCAAGCGTCCAATGAACGCCCGCTATTCAGTTTGTAAGGCGGGGCTTCCGAGTAGGCGTGTGGGAGATAGTAGGAAGAGGAGGTCAAATGCGTGCACTGTAAGAGTTTCAAAAACGCGAGGCTGTCTCCAGGAAATTTACGCAGGTAGACATTTGTGTTCGAGTTACATTAGACGATATAATTTACTGTTTTATTATAAGAGTTTACTTTTAGAAGTAAGTGCGGCGGTGCTGGGTGTGGCTTGTCCGTGTCGCATTTGTGGGCTGTTGACAGATAACGTTAGCTAAATGCTAACGCTACATGTCGCGTGTTTAGCTCGATAACGTTAACTAACGTTACAAGCAGAGTGAAATTATGAGTTTGGCTAGTCAAAAGTTCCTGTTATCATCTATGTAAAGTTGATTCATGGTGCATTTGTGCAGACGTTTAACGTTAGCTTTGGCTGCGAAGTTCGTTAGCTAGCTGCTGCACTTTGCTGGCATTGATTTTTGTCTTTGGGCACTGTCACGGTCACAGCTGTCATGTTTCACTCTGTGCCCCGTCGGCCGATCTGCGACATCGGTGTAAACACAATGAGGCTTCAGAGCAGCAGGACAATCAGACGGGCTGTCGAGGAGGGCAAAGGGAAGCTTGAGAGTTTCCCATGGCTGGGCAGGAACATGGGCCTGTTGTTGTCCTGGCTGCAGAGGGCAGGTATGGGTGCATCTGAGGCCGCGGGGTCTGGTCAAAAGAGGAAGGGGTTGCTGTCCATATTTGCGGACCACTGCGGCTTTGTGACCGGCCAGAGGCTCCGGCGTGCTTGCCAGGTCGGCGAGCTTTACTCCAACCTTTACTCCGAGCGGACCAAATGGACCCTGGTGGGCAACATATGGCGCAGATTTCAGAGCAAGCACGCCCCCACTGGGAAACTTGTCGCGGCCCTGGCTGGTATCTTCATGTGGGATAGTGAGAAGATTCAAGATGAGGAAATTCGCAGGTTTGAAATCTTCCTTTAAATTCACATATGTTTGCACTTAAGACACACTGTTGATTGACAAATTGCAGATACAAGCAGAGTGAGTGTAGACATTTGTCAAAATCAGAAAAGAATTTACTGCCAAAAAGGTTTTCATTTGCAAGAATTTGCTTTGGTTTTTGGTGCATTCATTAAACACACAATATACACACATTAAGAGCAATAAAGGTAAGGCAAACTGCTGCAACCACCAGTAACTTAAAAGAAAAGAAGTACTATAGCATAACAAGTATGTACAATATTACAGTTTCAGAATAGGCTGTACAGTTTTGTGCTGGATGTGCAAAAATATATATGAGATGTGCAAAAGTTCACACAGCAAATAGAGTTAATATGTATAATGTGTTCACAGAACAGCAAATATGTGCAAAGTGCGCAGCATCAAGCACAGTAGTTCTATACAGGGGATAAGAGGGGGTCACTGAATGGTTAAGTATTAAAATTATGTGAACTGTGCTATGGGCTACATTCACCAGACCCCAACCCATTTGAATGCCTACAGGAGCTCTTAGACTAACACGTTAGGCAAGCATCATTATCAGAATCCCAAATAAGGGAATATCCTTTGAAGAAGTGTTGTTTATTCCTCGTGTAGAGTTACAGAAACTTGTACAAGCTGTTCAAAGGAGCATTGATGCTGTTCTGGCAGCTCAACACATTACTAAAATGCTTAACATAGTGTTTCATTCCGTTTGTATTTACAGTGCAGCATTCCATATTGATGTGACTATAATCTGTAGTGTCAACTGTGCAGCATGCTAAACAACCCGTCCTGTTGTTTGCATCCATTTGAAGGTGTGGACTCGAGCTACAGGCACTGGAGGCTGTAAAATGTCTGAACACAGCTACAGGTACAGTGGCCGGACAGCTGGAACCTGGCTGGGAAGTTGTGATGGAGAAGAAGGGCTTCAAAGTGTGGAAGCGCCCTATACCCAACAGTCACCTCTATGAATACAAAGGTCAGCCAACTTACAATCTCATATGTGTTATCAGGTCTCTGAAATGCAGGTAAAGCACACATTTAACTTTCCCTGTACTTTGGTTGTGGTGATACTGGTGTGACTAGTCTGAAGAAACAGCATTTCTTTGTGTTTTACTTGCAGTGTTGGGCTCTTACAATGATGTCACCCCAAGGCAGTTCTTCAATGTACAGGTACAGACATTTCAGTTCTTGTTACATGCTACCAGGACTATGTTGGTCTTGATTTATGTAGGAATGAAGTGGCATAAATAATTTATTTGACTGGGATACTGGCATTCAGTAATAAAAACCATCACAGGGAGGAGAACGGCATTCTAAGTCCTTATCAGGGTTATATGGGTGCAGCAGTGTCCTCTCTCCTGAAGTCTAACATATGAGCCACGGAAAATCTTTGCATACTAATCACAATTATGCAAGTGAATATATCTGGTAGTTTGAAGATTTAACAGTCATAGCAGTTGGACTTTCACCCGTCACTTTTGTTCTGTTGTGTGTTCATGGTATATCTATGACAGCTTGTTTTGCATTTCCATTACCCAGCCGCTCTTGCATAACCAACATGTTTGCACTGCCCGTGTGTGGCACAAAAGCAACTGCAACACTCACTTTAGGTGCTATATTAAGCACCTTACCCTTGACTTATGCTTTCCCCTTTCCCCCAGTTGGATACAGAGTACAGAAAGAAGTGGGATTCTCTGGTTATCAAGCTTGAAGTGGTGGACAGAGATGCCAGCACAGGCTCTGAAGTTGTGCACTGGGCTACACACTTTCCTGTGAGTTTCTGTTGATTTGCTATCAGGCCTAAAGGGGAGATGGCTGTTTGTCTTGCATAATGTGTGTGTTCGTAGGTAGTTTTCCTTCCTTGTTTCGTTGTACAAGCAAAGAGTGATTGACCTTGGCTTATTGTGTGGTCAAGAGACACGTCTGTATTTTTTAACCTGGACCATATTTTCCCATGTTTTTGTGTCTAAGTGATGAATGGAAATTTTTGAAATTGGTCCAGTTTTGAGAGAGACCACTGCAATTGCTAAATGGGCTCCAGTGTAATCTTTGGGGCACATTCTCAACGTCAGTGTACGTCCACTTAACATGCTTGTTTTTGCCACTGACAGGTGCAGATTGTTGCTGAAATATTGTGGAAAGCACCCCACATATAAATAAAATGTATTTCTTGACCTTTTGCCTGATCTGGTCTGTTTGTGCTTGTCTTTCTGCAACAACTCAACTCATTAAACTTCAGAAGAGACTTCTCCTTGAGTGAGACTTGAATAGACACAATAACAGACTGGATCAGGCAAAAGGTAAAACAATCTGAGCCTGACGGTGGCATAACAAGCACTTTTAGCGGACAAACACTGACAGCGCTCTGTTGCCGAGAGGTAACCAAGTGGTTACATTACAGCCAGTTTCACATCTGCTGGCTGAAGCGGTCTCGCTCAATACTGGACCAATTTAAAAAAAATGTTGTTCCCATCAGTCAGTTAATCTACATTCAGACTGTGGCCAAATCAGATTTGTTTTTCAAAGCGGATCTTTAAGACGGACTGTCTGCACTGTTATTGGCAAGTGATCAGATTGGATTTGTGAGTCTAGACAATACCAACCTACCTGCACGGGTATCTGTGGTAACAACAAGGCATCAGTAGCTATGCCGATGACGCGGCTTGCCAGTATGAAAGCATGATAAATTGAGGCTAACCTCAACTGGAATGGTTTTCAACATGGAAAAAATGGATGAAAAATCGCAGAAGACATTCAGTGTCAGATTTATCATCACGGATTCATTTTACAAAGTCTCAAAAAGACACTGCAGTCCAAGGCTTGATTACAGAGCTTCTAAAAGAGATTCGACTGCACAAGAGCCCTTGCCAGAGCAGCACAAAGGTTAATGCAGACTCCGGCACGCAGCCTAGCTGGAAAAGCTCTGCTTCAGTGATACAGTAGTGTTACACAAAAGACATTTTCAAATACTATTTCAGCAGCCAGAGCTGTGAGCGAATCTGTAGAAATTTGATCGGAATCACATTTCAAACCCCTTCCAAATGTGGTTTTGGACCTGAGTTTGCAAAAATGGCATTTTGCTGTCCAGACTTTCTAAAAATCAGTCAGGATACAATCAGGATTTGGGCTGGCAGTCAAAAGTCACTTAGAAACAAAAACATGGGAAAATAGGGTCCAGGTTGAAAATATGCTTAAGGTTCCCTCTAGGAGAAACTACGAACTCAGTTTCAATATATCTATCAGTTTCTATTTTAGAACATCAGCTGTTATTTAATCTTGTCTAATCTCTCCTCACAGTATCCCATGTACTCGAGGGACTATGTTTATGTGCGTCGCTATGACGTGGATATAGAAAACAACCTGATGATCCTGGTATCCAGGTGAGACTTCAAACATAATGTCTCTCTGAAGTCAAATATGGTTTAGCTTTTGATACATTACTAAATTATTAACATGTTGTAATTCTGTTTACAGAGCTGTGGAGCATCCCAGAGTCCCAGAGACTCAGGACTTTGTGAGAGTCCATTCATACCAGTCAAAGATGGTCATCCGCCCTCACAAGTCCTTTGATGAGGTTTGTGGTGAATGTGTTGCTGTGCACATTGATTTAACTTGCATCCAGGGTGCTGTGTTTTGTAGTCGCTGAGTTTGAGTGTGTTTTTCTGCACAGAATGGATTCGATTATCTGCTGACCTACAGTGATGATCCTCAGACTGTCTTTCCCCGTTACTGTGTGAGCTGGATGGTGTCAAGTGGTGGGTTCTTTTCACTTGTTGAAACTGCTTAGAGCTGCAGATAATGATGATCTTTAGAATCATATTTTATTATTGATTTCTTGCTTGGTCAAAAACCCAGTGTTATTCCATTTAAAATGACATTATGAAGCTGGAATATGCAAATGTAGAGCATCTTTTTTTACTCTAACATTTAGAGTTATGTGCATTTTTATACTTTGAGTGTGTATTTCTTTCCTCTTGTACATTTCATCCTATCCCCACTGAGTATGCATATTTCACCCAGATAATAAGGAGGCTCTCTCTTTGCTCCTGGCAGGTATGCCTGATTTTCTGGAAAAGCTGCATACTGCTGCCTTGAGGGCCAAGAATTTAGAAGTTGGGATTCACGACTACACAGGTGTCATTAAATCCAGTGACAACAACCGCCAGCAAAGCCAGGAGCGGCTCAGTGGAGAAAAGCCACACACAGGTGGTCCCGGACAGATCTACGCTTGAGACGGAGAATTTATAGACCAGAGATTATGTTGGTCTGTTTTTCGCTCGCACTTGAACCCGACTCAAACCCTCCAGCCTATCTTTTTGGGTAGATTGCATGAACTGCAAATGGAAGCTGCAACCTACTTTAAAGACAGATATACAGTATGTCCTTCCATAGACATGGTTATAGTGGTTGCTGATGAGATGTCACAAGAACAATGAATTGTACCGATGACAGCTGACACCTGTCCTTTTTGGGAAACGTTGCCATAGAAATTTTCACCCAGACTGCTGGCATTGGCACTGTTTTTGCTTGGCAAGGTGGCATTTTTTGCCGCCACTGGTAATGATGTAGGTCCAAGAGCCATTGGTAAGATCGAGCCAAAGTTCCTAATTGTAGAGATGCTTTTGTCAAGATGCAGTTTGTCCCATTTTAACATTCTATGTCTTGTCTTCCACTGTTTGACAAGGCTTGACTTCAAAGGCTGTTCAGAGCGAATGCAGCCACATTACTGTATTAGTGTCTGTGGTGTGATTACAGCGAGATGTTGTGTAAATGGTCATGCAGTACTGGACGGTGAAACCCAAAACTTCTGCACCTACAGATGAAGAATTGAGGACTTTCTACCACATTTTTTCATGCAACTAAAGCAACTGGTTTCCTGTTTGCTCAGTGTGTGTTTGATCTTTATGTGTCTGGATGGGATGGATTAAAAAAACTAATGATGCCATTACTGGAAAATTTGTCCAAAGAATTGAAAATGAACTTTCTCGTCCGTTGTATTTTGGGGATTGCGCTGTTTTGCCATTGGTACAGTTGAAGTTTCACACTGTTCATCTCACCGTGTCTGTGTAACCGTTGAAACTGCCAGCGTTGACAAAACAGCCTTCTGAAGATAAACCAGTCCTTCAGCACTAGGGGCATAGTGTCTTATAACAACCACATAAATCCTCAGCTCAAAGGTACTGATGCGCTTCAGTTTACTCTCACTAGCAAGGCATGCCTACAGAGACACATTTCAATAAACCCATGCCCCTTTGTCGAAGAAACTTGGACCACCTGTGCCACATCACAATTTATTTACATTTCATATAAAGTTAAAAAATTAAGTTGTCCCATTTCAGTTCAGAAATTATTTTGTCATCTTGGTGTCCACAGCAGTTGTAGCAGACGTCACTGAAGTTTGAACTGTTGGAGCTATGGGTGTTTGTGTTTTCTTTGTGTTACAGTTGATCTTGTACATTCATAAAACCGTTGCCTGAATACTGGAAATCCCTGTTCTTATGAGTACAACAAGCTCTGTTACATGTTTGTCCTGCGTTGTGATTCATCAGTCTTTATTATTAATGTGGATCCTACTGATAGTCCGTAACTCATCCTTCCTAATCATCCTTGTTGCTTTTCTAATGAACTTTTTGCAGGGGTGTTATGAATGTACAAAGAGCTCCACGTTGTGTGGGAAAACATCGCCTAATAAAGTACACTGTTTACAGCCTGACAATCTGGCACAGAAATCTTGAAATTCATTTGTGTTTAAAACATCTTTATGTGTATTAAAATCTCATACTTGTAGGTGGTACATCAGAGTGAAGCAGCTGCAGTAACTGTCTCAAGATCAAACAGTATAGTGGCATCCACCTTGTGAAGGTCCCACATGTATGAGAATCCCCGATTTAATATATCCCCGTTGTCATTGTGTGTATTTCCATACTGTGAAGTATTTCAGTCTGATAAAAAAAAAAGGATAAAAAAAAAAGGGCAGTGAAAGTTGTGAAACACTGATATGTTGAAAGTGCGAGGGAGAATATCTCTTGTGTGGTCAAACAGAACTGTGAGACTCTAAAGAGATCATCGTAATCTAATTTAACATTATGCAACGTTTGCTAATGTTCAGCTTGTGAATGTAACATGTTAACTGTCATTTATAGACACCTGCGTGCCACCTGCAGTAGTCTAAAAGAGTTGTCACATACTGTTTTTGTTACTTCTTCCTACAGGCAGTAGAACGTTTGTTGTGATTAGCCACCACATCATGAGGATTACCTATGAATACTATTGTGTGGATATGAGCTAGTGCACTTGTCACCCTGTGATTTCATGGCTGATTGAAATGGAAGAACGACTAATCAAATCAAATAAACATCTTCATGTGTATCTTTCTGTGTTCAGCTGCTGATTGCAGAGCATGCTTGGTTCTGACCTTGTCTAGGTAGGAAAAAAGGGGTGATTAGCATTGTGTTTGTGTAAAGCAGCCATCGTAGTCTGGTCTAATGGGATAATGTGTAAACCTATATACTCCCTGTCTGGGCAAAAGGTCAGCGACAGACTGCAGAGAGGCTCCACAGTTTACTGAAAGCACTGTGCTCGGCTGATCTGCTTGGAACAAGACTTACTCTACTGGCTAAAACCTGTAGCTCCAGTGGCGTAAATACAGGCAGTGTGGTTGCCCTGGGGCCTGTGGGGCCATGGAGAGAGTAAGCATCCTTCAACAATGTGTTGGGCAGAGAACTTGCCCTTGTGGTGATTCAGATTGCCACATGAGAAATACACGTGTTCAAAGAATTAATTTGGGGGCCATTTGCTAAATATTCCCTTGAAAAGGCAAGCCCATCACTATCATGGTTTTCTGTCTTTATTTCTGTCCTTACTCTTTTTTGTTTTTGGTATAACAGTCAGTAGAAATCTTCAACAAAATTATATGCTTGTTCTTCAACTATAAAAAACAAACAAAAAACAATTAGGCAGTTTAGTTGCATAATCTGTCAAGGCTGACAAACTTGGCACATCTGCAAGCCGAGCGAGCTGTCTTGCCTTTCAAACACAGAAGCGGCAGTAAAAAGAGCAGGAGAAGGTAGCAAACCTCACTAAATTAAATTCCTTTGCCTTTTTATGGACAGTCGTATACCCACAGACGACCCCCCCCCCAAACAGCAATGCAACAGCTTGCCAGTAATCAGAATCAATGCTGCTCTTAGTAACATGTCAACAACCATGCAGCAAGTATAGATAGATATAACGTTAGTTTATATGTGTGTGTACTTCATCACTAATAACTAGTATGCACTGGAACCCATCGTGACTACCCTACACCACTGTGTAGCTCTGTCCCAAATCCACACTACATAGTAGTTCTTTACAGAATGTAGCCCACTACATACTAACTGCCATAATGAATTGTTTTAGTAATAATCATAACGCATTTTGAAATGCCCACTTTGGCCTGGCATCCTGGCTCCCCCTTGTCGTAGCATATTCCTGAGGCAGCATCGGATGTGAGCCCCAGTCTCCCACACTAAGGTCAGTAGCCTTAACCACTGAGTTATCCTGCCAACACAGACACTCTTTCTTCTGGGCACATTTAACCTTTTTATTTGGGCATTGGACTTTAAAATTCACCTGCCCTGAATAAGGATCAAACCTCTGACCTCAGAATTCCCAAGCAGCTCTTTAACAGCCTGAGGTATTCCACCTCATACTTCTGTTGTGTTTCACGGAGCCTTTCACTCTGTCCTCTGGACAGTGGCCTTTAAAATTCACCTGCCCTGGACTAGGATCAAACATTCAACCTAAGGACTTCCAACCAGCTAACAGCCTGAGCTACCAGGCCAGAGACATTTTGTATGTGTTTCTTTGGCATTTTAACTTTCTCCTTCAGACATCAGCTCACAAAACAGACAGACTGTTCACCTGGGAATTGAACTCTGATCCTCTGACCTTCAAACCAGTCCTCTATCTCCCTAAGCTAACAAGTTGGAGACACTCAAATGTGCCTCCTTGAAGATTTTCTCTTTCTCCTTTAGACAAAGCATTAGAAAAAATAAACAAAGGAAGTCCATGTATAACTAACTATAAATAAATCATAGTATATGTTGAAAAACCTAAATAACTCAGTACAGTGTGTTCAGACCAAAGTCAGGTGACATGGTATAAATGCTCTTTTTTATTCTGTTTCTGTATTATGTTGAGGAGGGCCGTGTGTGTATATACATACAGTACAGGCCAAAAGTTTGGACACACCTTCTCATTCAATGTGTTTTCTTTATTTTCATGACTATTTACATTGTAGATTCTCACTGAAGGCATCAAAACTATGAATGAACACACGTGGAGTTATGTACTTAACAAAAAAAGGTGAAATAACTGAAAACATGTTTTATATTCTAGTTTCTTCAAAATAGCCACCCTTTGCTCTGATTACTGCTTTGCACACTCTTGGCATTCTCTCCATGAGCTTCAAGAGGTAGTCACCTGAAATGGTTTTCCAACAGTCTTGAAGGAGTTCCCAGAGGTGTTTAGCACTTGTTGGCCCCTTTGCCTTCACTCTGCGGTCCAGCTCACCCCAAACCATCTGGATTGGGTTCAGGTCCGGTGACTGTGGAGGCCAGGTCATCTGCCGCAGCACTCCATCACTCTCCTTCTTGGTCAAATAGCCCTTACACAGCCTGGAGGTGTGTTTGGGGTCATTGTCCTGTTGAAAAATAAATGATGGTCCAACTAAACGCAAACCGGATGGGATGGCATGTCGCTGCAGGATGCTGTGGTAGCCATGCTGGTTCAGTGTGCCTTCAATTTTGAATAAATCCCCAACAGTGTCACCAGCAAAACACCCCCACACCATCACACCTCCTCCTCCATGCTTCACAGTGGGAACCAGGCATGTGGAATCCATCCGTTCACCTTTTCTGCGTCTCACAAAGACACGGCGGTTGGAACCAAAGATCTCAAATTTGGACTCATCAGACCAAAGCACAGATTTCCACTGGTCTAATGTCCATTCCTTGTGTTTCTTGGCCCAAACAAATCTCTTCTGCTTGTTGCCTCTCCTTAGCAGTGGTTTCCTAGCAGCTATTTGACCATGAAGGCCTGATTGGCGCAGTCTCCTCTTAACAGTTGTTCTAGAGATGGGTCTGCTGCTAGAACTCTGTGTGGCATTCATCTGGTCTCTGATCTGAGCTGCTGTTAACTTGCCATTTCTGAGGCTGGTGACTCAGATGAACTTATCCTCAGAAGCAGAGGTGACTCTTGGTCTTCCTTTCCTGGGTCGGTCCTCATGTGTGCCAGTTTCGTTGTAGCGCTTGATGGTTTTTGCGACTCCACTTGGGGACACATTTAAAGTTTTTGCAATTTTCCGGACTGACTGACCTTCATTTCTTAAAGTAATGATGGCCACTGGTTTTTCTTTAGTTAGCTGATTGGTTCTTGCCATAATATGAATTTTAACAGTTGTCCAATAGGGCTGTCGGCTGTGTATTAACCTGACTTCTGCACAACACAACTGATGGTCCCAACCCCATTGATAAAGCAAGAAATTCCACTAATTAACCCTGATAAGGCACACCTGTGAAGTGGAAACCATTTCAGGTGACTACCTCTTGAAGCTCATGGAGAGAATGCCAAGAGTGTGCAAAGCAGTAATCAGAGCAAAGGGTGGCTATTTTGAAGAAACTAGAATATAAAACATGTTTTCAGTTATTTCACCTTTTTTTGTTAAGTACATAACTCCACATGTGTTCATTCATAGTTTTGATGCCTTCAGTGAGAATCTACAATGTAAATAGTCATGAAAATAAAGAAAACGCATTGAATGAGAAGGTGTGTCCAAACTTTTGGCCTGTATATATATATATATATATACATATATATATACATATAAACCCAGCCCAGTTAAATTTGTAATTGAACAGCCCTGGTTTAAGGGGTCCTTGTATCATGCGTGCTGGCTCACTGTCATGACACGCTGGGATGCTTGAATAGAACAGAGCCATTGTTAATGTTTAAGTAAGTCTTGGGCTTTTTCTCCTATGTCAAGTAAAATTTCCAATGTGAAAAAAGACTATTGATTTTTTTTAAAAATAAATTAAGTTAATGAATTGTATTTGAAATAAGTAATAAGTAATAGCAGTGTTCAAGACAGCAGCTAGGAGTTACATCACCTCATCCACGGTGAGAGTGCACCCATAAAATAAAGTTTTAGCCAACAATGACAATCTATCATTTTAACTCTGGCACACGCTGCTGCTGAAATTAAAAGTCTCCAACAAAGGGGGTGTATTTTTCTGGGTTGGATATGACAAATGCATGTATAATATTTCTCCAGGATAGAGCGTGCTGACTCAGTACAACATGACAAGACAAGGCTTGTGGTGCACTTCGTTGCCGTAATGGTCATTCTGACAGTGATTCATACACAAAAGTCTCACAAGTATTTTACATTGCACATAATCTGCAGCACATGAAGGCTGCATTTATTAAAACATGTCATAAAGAAAGGACAAGTCTGGTTTAATCATTTAAAATGTATTGGTTTAATGCAGGAGTTATGATGTGACATATGGGACAACAAAAGCGCTGCATAGAGACAAAACTAATATAATTTTATCATCACTTCAAGAACATGAACTCTCTGTCTAAAACACATGGGCTTGTGTGTCTCAGGGTTTGATTTACAGATCAGTGTTGTGTCTTAACTGAGTGCACATTGTTTTAATGGATGACCTCCACTGTCTGAAATCATCAGCTGTAGTTAAAAGCCACGGAGCACTTACAATAATTGATCGTTTCCACAAATCTGCCATATTGACACCAACCAGCTTTTAGAAAAACGTTTTATCTTTATGAATGCTATAAAAACCTGTGAGCCCCACTCTCCCTATATATATTTATATATACTTGAAAATCGATTTTGCCCTTTATTCAACATTTTTAAAAAAGCCAATAAAACACACAGGATGTTAATATGATATTTATTGGTCACAGTCCGACATCTTAGAGTACATGACGAGATAAAACAACAGGAGTAACATTTAAAACAAAATTAGAGCCAACTATCATAAAATGGTGGTCCTTTTGTACCTTGTAGTCTTCATTTTTTCTCCAAATACTTGAGTTTTATTGCCCCATTTTCGTTTATTTCATTTAAATCGTTAAATTTTAGAAATGCACAGGCACACCACTGACTTGAAAATGAAAATCTGAGCTTTTTTAAAATCACTCGGGAGGTCAGAACAGAAGGCCGATAGTGCTCACAAGCCTCCAAGGTGCTTGGCACAACCATGGACAGAAGACGCACTGCATGGTTAGATCAAGCACAATGGGGTCCTGGGCGAAGGCAAAAAACCCAACACCGATCACAGATGATCCCGCTCAACACAAGG